TGAGGTGAGGGGTCATCTTTGTCACAGGGAAGGGCGCACAGGAGCTGCAGCGTCATGGATAGCATGGGTGGATAGGAGTGAAAAAATGGCAATTTGAAGTGTGTGCTCGGAAGGTTCTCAATTGCAAGAAGGGTCAGCCCATGGCATGATCTTGTCAGGGTTTTGGTGGAAAACTTCCTTTGCTCAAGCTTTCTAAAATGTGAGTGGGCAGAAGTTGGAATGGTCTTTTGTGGATCGTTCTGCAGGAGTGGAGGGATAAACTTTCAGGAGAATTGTTTACAGGCCCCAATTTTTGATGTCTATCCCTAATTCAGCCCTTCTCTGCCCATGGGGTAGAGCTCAGGCTCTCCCTGGTTCCTTCCTTTCACGATTTAGAACAAGAGGGAAGACCCTGGAGCAGCACGAGTGATCTGTGATCCTAATCCAAAGAGACAGTTTGGTGCACCGGCATTTATTTGGGAGCCTGAAGTGACAATAGCATCGGGTGTTATAGGATTAGATGCTCTGACTTGGGAAATGTGTAGGGATTAGGTTTACCCGGAGGATCCGCTTGGAGCTGCTTTCTTGTGACAGGAGCTGATGGATCTGGAGCCTTCCTGCTGGCCAGCAAATGGGCTCGGGGATCCCTTGGACTTGAGTCCTCCTGCTGCCAGATTGGGGGCGGATTTTCATGTGAGCTGGGGGAAAATCCCATGTTTGAGAGTTACGGGGTGATGGCTGGGACAGGAGTCCTCCCTCTGCCAACGGGTGCATGAGGGAAGCCCCTGGTGATGTCTTCCCATCCCGTGGACACAAGGAAACGGAGAGGAGCGTTGCTGAGGGGTCTCTCCCAGCTGGGATCGGAGAAGAGGGTGTCGTAAAGTGATTAAAAATCACAGAAGCCAAAGCCTTGGGGTTCTCCTGTTGCAAACGAGCAGATGAGAGCAATGATTGGGATTTTCTCTGTCTGACCCTGGTCACCTCCTCATTTTTTTGTAGCACTTAAGTCACTGCCCACTCTGGGATGTGCCGGGACCGCCTTGTGCCCTTGTCACAGCAAACGGATTTGGCTCCTCAGCCTGCGGTAGCACCGAGCCTGCTTGCCCGTGGCTCCGAGCTCTGCCCGCTCCTCTCCTACCGTTCCCAGCACATCCTTGTCCGCTTTGCCGCACGGTTCCCATCTGGGAGATGGGAACGGTGGATCCGCAGGGATCGCGGGAGAGGAGCGGCCGGGAAGGGGCATTGTGAGGGCTCGGGCTGCCCCGGGGGTGGAGCGGCGCTCGCCGCGGTTAGTGACCCCAGCGCTGGGGCTCGGCCTGGGCACTGTGATAAACGATCTTATCCTGGGTCAAAGAAATGGTACCCCACAGGGAGGTACCCGCGAGGCGGCCCGGGAAAACTGCCTGTGCTCTCTAGCACTGACCCCTTAGTGACCACACTGCATATATCTTATTTATTACAGACCAGAAGGCGATTTTCCATGGTTTCCATGCTGAAATAAGCTCTCGGCTCTGCAGCAAGGCCGGGGCAGTGAGTGCACCCTCCAGCTGCCCTCCTGGCACTTTGCGCTGGTCTCTGTGTGGATTTGCACCGAGGTGGAGGTGCCTGCGTGTCGTGGATCCCTCAGTGGCCTCTGCAGCTCGCTGCTAGCCCAGCGCGTGCTCGTGTCGGCCGCTCTTACAGACCGGCTTGTGCAAAATCCTCCTGCGTTTCCGCACATTTATTGTCCAGTGCGAGTTTTTTCCAGTGTAAAATCCAGCTCGATGTTTCTTATTCCAGGCACCTGTTTTCTCTCTGCACACAGTGAGCGCCCTCTTTGCTGAGTTATCACTGATGGATCTGTCAGGCCCGGGAGGTTTTATTGAGCTGGGAAAGATCTATGGAATTCAGCCTCGGTTTTGAGGGTGCAAATGAGCCCAGGCCCTTTTCCAGGCGGTGCTGAAATGGAGTCCAGGCCTCGGTTCTCTTGCAGGGGAAGCCCTACAGACTCTTCACCACCGGGATAAGGCAGGAGAAGGGGCCTTGGAGGACGCCCGGGGGAGCTGAGCGACCTCCACGGTTCCTGCTGCCGCAGTCGGGGACGTTCAGATCGCAGCTGGGCTGACCCGGAGCCGGCGCTGCCGGGTCTGGTGCCTGCGCGCGCTGCAGCTCCGCGTCCTGCCCGCGGCGGTGACACACGGTGGCTTTGTGGCACTGCGAGCACACGCGTGGCCGTCCTGCGCCCGGCGTTTCACTGGGTGATTTGTTTTACGCTCATAACGTGGCTTTGAGCTCCTGTCTGGGCACTTGAATGAAGCGGTTTTCTCCAATATTTGCCGTTTTTTCTATTTTTTCTTTTCTTAATTAGCTTTAAATCATTTTTTGACGAGAATTTGGAGGGGTCTGTCCTGTGCCGCAGGCACCTGAAGCCGTTCGTCCCTGCGTCCAGACGAGACAGGGCTGGAATTGGTGACCTAAGGGAGAGATGCCGGAGTGTCGGAGCCGCCGCCTGAGGCTCCCTTGCCCGCCAACGCGCCCGGTCCCTGTCACCGAGCACCAGCAAAGGCCTCTCCGTGACGGCAGCACCAGGACTTTGCAGCTGCTGGGTCCGTAGCGATGGTTTCCCTTGTCATGGATGTGATGCGTGGTTGGGTTCATGGTTTTTCCTTCTCTTAAGTCATTTCCAGAGGGTTTGATTTTTGCATGGCAAATCCTCAGCCCATGGGAAACCAGGTTAGACCCGCAGCGCCGCGTCCCAAAAGGTCTCAGGAAGGACCCGTGTGTCAGCTACGAGACGAGCAGTTTTGCCACAATTTGCTGCTGGTTTCCATCACGATAAGGTGCAGGATCCGGAGCTGCTCAGTGAGGCTGAACTGCGAGATGGCTCCCCCACCAACCGCTCGCAGCTTAAGTAATCTTGTTTCCAACACCCTCCCTAGGGGAGACGGTTTTAGTGCGTTGCTGGTCACTTCTCATCCTTTATAATTGATTGGTTTGGGTAAAACTGGTGTGTACAAAACGTGGAGACATGAGGGTGGGCAAAAATCAGCGCCGGGGAAGCAGCTGGAAACGTGACGTCCCCAGGTTGGCTGTGGGGACGGCGTCTGCATTTTCCTTGCTCTTTGCAGCAGGGAGGCTCCAGACATGCACAGGGATACCACTTTTTTTTCCTATTAATTCTCCAGTACGTGTGTATATGACTTCTAGGGGAGGAATAAATGAACGGAGGCTCAGGTGGGGCTGAAAATAACATTTATTATGGACGGAGCAGGGGCGAATCGTCCAGCGCGGCCTCCAATAAATCAGTCCCCTCCATCCAAGCCGCTTTTAGGTGGCTGCCTTTTATCCAGCCGGCGCCGCGTGTTTCTGTTTCAATGATCTCCCCGGAGAGGTCCCCGTGGAAGGGGCCGCTCGTTGCGGCCGCGCTCATTGTGTGCGTCCTCGTGCATAAATATGGAACAGCTCGCGGCCGCCGGCCCGCGCCGCCCCCTCCTTCCCCGGAAGGCTCCTCTCCATCTTCCTGCCTTTTCTCTCCATCTTTCTTCCTTGCTGCCTCCCGGGCAGCCCCCGGAGCGGTGCCCGCTGGGCGCCGCCGGCTCCCGTTGCCGCACGGGGCAGGAAGCAGCAGGAAACGGTTCATTCCGTCTCCTAACTCAGGTCGGCCCCAGGCGGCGATGCAGGTTCGTGGGCAGATCCCTGCGTCGTGGCCGGAGCCGTGTCCCTGTGGCCGGAATATCCACCTGCCTGCGTCCTGGTGCAGGGAAAACCCCCGGCACGGACGGAGCGACCGGGGAGCTCTGCTCCCTCCTGGCGATATCCGTGATCCCGGCGCATCCCCGTTTAAGGCAGAGCCAACCTGCTGCACGTGTCGCCCGCCAAGCCAATGCCTGCGGAATGGGATGCCAGGCTCTATTGTAGCTCTGTCTGCCAGGAAAGGCTTCCCGTGGCCTGGATGAGCTTATCCCATACGAGGGAGCCCCAGCGAGCCCTCCCGAAAGGGGCTGCGGATCCGGGCGTGCAGGGAGCTTCCAAAACAAACCCGGCTCTGGGGGCCTTGCGGAGGGCTGTTCAGAGGAGCCCCAGGAGAACAACTGATTGCGGATTCCGGGCGATGGAGCGGTTTGTGGGAATGGTAAAAATATCGAGGTGAATGCTGGCGAACTCCGCGTGGCAATTTGTCAGCTTCCCGAAACCCTGGAACGGATTATGCCCCCCCTCCGTCGCTTCTCACCTCTCCAATAGGAAATTAACTGATGCTATCGCTAAAGAAATTGTTTTTGCCTCACAAAGTAAAATTGATACTATAAAAACCCGCCCGCAGTGTCTCCTCCTCCCTTTACATGAAGACAAATCCTTCCTGTCACCTCCTGAAATGGAAAGATAAAGGCTGAGCTTTAATAAGGGAGCAGCTCGCCCCGAAGTGCAGCGGGAGGGCTGCCTGTGGCGGGGGAGGCGGCGCGCGGGGACGCGCGGGGACGGGGCCCGGCGAGCGGCGCGTTCCTCGCGCGGCCGCCACGGGGACGCGTCGCATCGGGCACTGGGCCCGTCCCTGTCTCGTGGCCAGGCTCCCTCCTTTGGGTTTTTAAAAACCCACTTGAACCCCCATGCAGTTCCACGTGAGGTTGTTGGGTAGCGGCGGAATCTGCAGGGCAAGGGGTGTGTTAAGGGCCTGGGGACATCCAGGATCACCTCCGTGTTTGGCGGCTCAGCATTAACTCCAGGTCGTTTTGGGGACACACTTAACATGTGCACGTTAAAGGAGGGATCTGTCCTGGTCCAGGGAATGTCCAGGGAAAGGATCGGCCTTCCCGCATTGCCCTTTCCCTGGGAAGGACCAGACCTTCCCTGCAGGGTTTGGGGCAGAGCCTGGGGCTTGGAGCTCCCTCCGCTCAGTCAGGGACGTTTCTGTTTCTTGTGGGTGAAGGTTTGCAGCTCTCCCACCTCTCCTGCCTGTTCCTCATCCCTCTTTTTGTGGATAGCCACTGTCCTGGGATCCACCAGGAGCCACCAGCAACCTAAACTGCTGTCCTTTCTCCTTCCAGGGGACATCAGAAACCTGCTCCAGTGGATCAAACAGAATTTGCTGAAAGAACGACAGGAATTATTTATGCAAGGGGAATCTGTGTAAGTACAAATGTTGTGGATCTTTCTTGTTTCTCTCTGTTGATCCCTGTGGTTGGTGATACATTTTTTATGCTGGTTGTAAGAAGGAAGTTAATGTCTGTGAAAATATGGGATATGCTACGGGATGAGGAGGAGGGTGTCCCATTGATTCAGAAGGAATTCCAAGGTGAATCTTGTGGTGCTTTGCAGAGAACCTGTCTGTCTCTTGCAGCCCAGGTCCTTAAATGTTAAATCCGAGGTGCGCACACGTGCGCTTTGTGTTCTCCGCGTGGTCGCCTGCTCGCGCCAGTATCCTCGATTCCAGGAGTCCAGCAGGTCTCTCCGTTCCCTGCTGACATCACTGGGACCGAGGCAGTCACTCGGAGAAGTGCCAACACGCGTTTCTTCTGGGAAATGTATTTTTATTGTCAAAATGGGGCCAACCTCATGGAGGGAGGAAAAAAAAAAAAAAACAAGAGAAATGGAGCAGAGTGAGCTGTGCAAACCGTGCCGGGCTGCAGGGTGGCGCTGGGGGTGTTTAACATTCGTCACGGGTCTTTGTGAGCTGAAGCATGTGCCAGGTCCCCTGGTAACAGGAGAGACAGTCGCAGGACACTGAGGATCAAAGAGGGGGAATCCCTTTGCCTGTGATCGTGGGCTCCGAGTGGAGCGGGGTGTTCGCTGCCTTGGGCAGGGGCACCGGAACAGCCTCCCCTGCCTCCGCCTCGGGCTCTCCGCGCTCCGCTGCCGCGCGGGGGTTTTAATTACCTGGTTTTTCTACATCCTATGGAAACGTCATCTCGGAGCATCCTCAGGAATGGTGCATTTTGATTCAAATGAGCTCTGGGATTGCTCCTGCCTCCTCTTTATTTGATGTAGAAAGGGCACGGACTGTACCTGTTTCCACCTCTGTGCTAGGATCCCTTTCTCTCGTTGACTTTACAGGCAGTCAGCTTGTGATCTTTGCTCTTTAAACCCTTGTTCTTAACTATTTGTGAAGCTTTTTTTAGCAGCCCTGTATCCTAATTATTTCTCTGTGTTCTGCAGGAGGCCAGGGATTTTGGTGCTCATCAACGACGCAGACTGGGAACTAATGGTCTGTACTCCTTCACTTGGCCTTTCTTTGTTGCAAATCCTGCTCTGTCTGTTCTGGGGTTGCTCTCAGAGATGCTGTCTCTGATTCTTGACCCAAGCATCTAGTATTTGAGGGGGAACCAGGATCTCTCCCCGCGCCTTGCGCCCCCGCGGCTCTTGGAAAGCCTGGAGCCGTTCCGGCCCGGCGGAGTCTCCTCAGCCGGCGCGTGGGGAGGGATCAGCCCTGCTCCCTGACCTCTGGCAACAGCCTCTGCACGTCGGGGAGCGGCGCTGCTTTCAGCCAGCTCGGGAGAACAGCTCGGGGGCAGCAGGCGCCGTCCCAGCCCTGCCTTGTGACAGAGCCCCGTCCCAGCGCGAGGTGGCTGTTTAGCTGGGCAGGACAACACGGGGGAGGTTTCTACCCAAAGCGGTTAATACCTTCCCTTCTTGGCCCACCGTGGAGCTCAGGCAATAAACAGTCACTGACTGTTTTCCTGCCTCAGGCAACCACCTGTTCTGTCGACACGGTGGTCCAGAAAGCGGCGTGTTCCTGGGATGACACGTGTCAGCTCCCTGTCTCATCTCTCACCTTTGCTTCCTTTAAGGCTTAAATCCTTGGTGTTTCCCCGCTGCACTCCCTAACGCTCCCCATCTTTTTATGAGCTGCTTTCTCTTTGCAGTTAGCCTTTCAAAGTGACATTTAAACCCTTTTTTGTTTTTTCTCTTGGCCTGCAGGGCGAGCTGGATTATAAACTCCAGGACCAGGATAACGTGCTTTTCATCTCGACATTGCATGGTGGGTGAACTCCTGGAAAAACAAGAGGACTTAAATCCAGACCCTTGGGCACGAAAACCAGCAAGCCAAAACCTAAACCTACTCAAATCTCCCTTGGCCTGTCTGTGCCCAGGCTCTGCGTCTTCCCTGTGAGTTCACTCATTACTAAACATCCAAATAAAACCCTGCCAGCATGCAGCCTGCTGCGCAGCACAACAGCCTCCAGCTCCTGGTTGTCCTTTCGCCTCTCCTGACCGCGCTTCCAGGTACCCTGGCAGGCAGAGAGCACCTCCTGCGTGCGGGGCTTTATTTTTCCTGCAGAGAAGGAAAGAAGGGCACTGAAAACTGAGCAGAACGGGGTGTCTTTCAGGCAGTGAGACGTTCTGGGGGAATTGTGCTGCTTGGATGCCTGTGCCGGGAGCTGGGATTCTTCTCGGCACAATGCTTATTTATTAGAGTGTCTTTTGTATAGGCTCTGCACTGAGCCCCAGAAGTGATCGGGGAAGGGTGGGACATGAAACGCAAGGAAACAAAAGGTAACTTCACCAGCTTTTCCACGAGCTGGTGGAGATTACAGCGTGAATGACCTCTGCAGCGGCTCTGCGCTTGTCTTGCTAATTATCCATGGGCAGCGGGAGAGGAACGTTACACTTTGGAGTTTGTTTTTCTGCTGCCTGACGCCTCCTTCATACCTGAGCCCAAGGAGGGGAAAGTACAAGCCGGTGACCAAAACCAATTTATAACCCTGTAGCTTGGGGGTGAATAAACCCAGGCCGGGCCCAAGACGGTAGAGATTGATAAGGGCAACGTGTTATCGTTCTGTCAGCGTGACGGACAGGATTCCTCAGGCTCCGTGTTGTTGGGTGCGTTGCCCGGGCGCTGTGTGGGGAGGCTCCCGCAGCGGCGGCTGCTCCCTGGGGGACACCGCTTGTCACCAGCCGTCACCGAGGGGGAGCCCGGGGGGCCACGAGGGCTTGAACCGCACAGCGAAAATGCTGAAACCCGGAAAGAAAGGAAGGAAGGAAGGAAGTGGCTTTTAACCCTTTCCACCGATGGGAAGGGGTGGCTTCTTGGTGCCAGCTCTGAGCAAGTCCGGGAGCGTGACGGACGCTGGTGCGGCCAGGACGGGGACACATTCCGTTTTCCAGAGGTTTCCTTGGACAGACGGCCTGCCTGGCCGGCCGGCCGCAATGGGAGCGCAGGG